ATGTGTCGTCTATTTACATATTTTCCTTAGATATCTTACTCGCTGATTCCCTCTCTCTGTTCACCTTGACTCTAATACGTCTTGTGGATGACAAATTCTCCAAATCCTCTTTCCTCAGCATGTTTCACAATTGTTACAAGTGTTTCGTTCTGAAGCCTTTTGTTCTTATTTTTCATAAATTCCCTGATTGTTTCGTCAAAGCTATTGTCAGCAATTGTCTATAGAACAGCATCCCTATTACATGTAAAGAAGCGAAATTTGGCATGGTGTAATGGCTAACAAACTTGTCTCGCTAGAGTAATTATGACAATGTAGTTATTTCGTTCGTCACTGGGTGCTCCACATTTTCAGCCTTGAGTCAGTGCTAGACTACACTTAGAAAAATACTAGCAGCATGGCCCGGCGTTGCCCGTGCTTGATTAAAAAATCGTACGATTCATACAGCAATCGCATCATTTGACTTAAAATATTTTTGCACTTTCTTGCCTTTAAAGAAGTGTGGTTTGCTGTGCTGATGTTGCTACTTACCTTACTTCTTGCCTATCTCACGCTGCCAATTTTTTCTAAGCTCTATACTAAACATTAAATCTGTTACGAAAATGAACTAAACAAAATGAACACAAAACGTTTAGCTTTAAAAATGAACTCGTAACTGGAAAAACCGAATGAAAAAAGAATGTTAACAACAAATACTTTTTCAAACCTAACCCAATTCTGAGGAATCAGAATCAACGTTGAGTTTAAGCAAGCGAATGGGCCAATTGGAGTAAAGTGCCATGCAGATTTTAATTTTCCCACGTGTGCCGAATTTTTTTTTGCATGCTAGAATGCTATTGAACATTTGTGTCAGTCAGCTGTTGGCTCTCACGATGGCCAGTAGAATCATCCTGCCTATTCATGGCAGCCAGCTATAGGCTCTCACTCTTGACAGTAGAGAATGGCCGCAAACTACATGAAAACTGCCGTAGAAGCATGAAAAATCGATTATTTCCTCTATAAATGTAAGCTGAGAAATGCAAAGTCGGTCTTGGCCTTCCCACTAGTTTGGAACATGGCCATGTAAATTTTGGTGCAAATCCGTCGAAAATTGCGGCCGTGCATTTGTTACACACACACACGCACACATCCTGCCTTTTATAGATAGAGATTTAGACACTTCGACATGATGTAATGGTTAGTAATCTTGTTTTGCTAGATCAATTACTCAATGGGAGCTCCACACTGATAATTACTTTGGGCTCCTGGATGTAATATAATGTTTAACAAGCTTGTCTCATTAGATCAATTACGACTGAGTATAGGTACATTTGTTTCTTTGTCTACTAAGAATACGGTGTCGTCATTTGTTCTCATACGACAAAGGTGGTTTTATAAAACAAGATCGCTCGAAATGCAATAATTATTCCGGAGAATTGAGACTAACTCAGAATACATCTCATATCTTGGTCTCATAGTTAACAACTCTTTCAATATTACAACCGTTATTGTATATGACTGTCTCCGACGCTTTAAAGTCTTGGATTCTTCCAACATAGTGTCAAATACACGCATCATATTAATGGTTAACTTATTCATTTCCTACTGACCACATTGAAATAATGTTCATACACTCGTCGATTTTATTTCTGTTTTCTTCTTTCCGTACAGTTGCTCGTTGACTGTCATTTGAAGTACCTACTTACAAGGCGTAGAATACATCTCAAAATCCTCAATCTCGGCCGACCTTCAAAAATTCATCTCTTATATTCATTTTTAAGCATTTAATTGTTCCCTAGATTTATAGAATTTGGTTATGCGTAGCCTACTCCATAGCGATTTTATTGAAGCACCAACTCTAATAAGATATCCATTGACTCATTAGCGGCTTCTTCGACCTTTTGATACGACCTTACAATCACAATCGTGTATAAAGAGCGAATAATTCGGTATAATCATCTTCAACCTCCATCAAATCATTGTAAGTTTAAACATAGTTAAAAATAATAATTCAAGGGTTTTCAGTAAATAATTACATTTGTCGTTTATTATTAAATATCTTTTAAATATTTTTAACAACAAAAATAATAAAAAAATAAATATTCTCAGGAACAGGATGATAATTGTATATTTTTATTCCTTTGCTATTTATTGATTATTTTCTGCTATTTTTCATTTAAATAAATAATACTAAGTTGTACATTTGATGACGAACTGTTTGCTTTTACATTGAGTGTAAAATATATGTGTGTTAATGGGTGTATCGTTAGTGGAATTACGTTTTGGCAGAGAAGCAGTCGACCCTGCTTTACTCAGAAGAATTGGGATACAGAAATGTACTGGTTCCAAATCAAATTACCACACATTGCACCAAGAAGTCGCATTGGCACTGCGAAGGCCAAACCTGTTCAACGGCATCGACCTGCCGTCTAAACAGAGTGAGCGTAGACGAAGAGTTTTCCGTAACCGAACGGTCAAGGGGAAAATACTTGGATTAAGAAGCCAGAGACCAGTTACGAACCTGGTCGTAGGAACTGTGCCTGAGTGATTAACGTCTTTACCAGTGGGTGGAGGCATAGATTATATTTTAGAGTTTAGTCTTATGTTTTACACGGAGGAGAATAAAACCTTTTACTGTTTAGAAAAGAGGTTTCAAAGTTATACTTCGCTTATTCGTTTCAGTTACTAGTAATATAGGTCTGCGTTGATGAGTTTTCCATGCTCGCGTAGTTCTTAAATGATATCACCTTTCATATATCTCAAATCACAATGAAAGGGCTTCTCAGGAAGGATACCTGGGTTTCGCGAGTAAACTGCTTTCACATTTTTGTCATAACAACTGTAATTTTGGCTAGGCAGAAAAAAAAAAAATAAAAAAATTAGATTACATTAACAATGAGATGGATAAAAGAAAGTTTAGAATTCTTGGTTAAAATACTGGTAAAGATGGTTGGACCCGTTGTGCTGGTCTCAAAAGAAGAATTCTGTAGAATCCAAATTCCCTATTTTTAAAGTTTTTCCAATAACCTTGAAACGGATGTGGACAATTGCACATTTCACATTGATTGACTGATTCGTTTTTTTTTTCTTTCTTTTCAGCTGATCAACCATTTGCATGTCATTTAATGTCAGAAAATAAATTTAGATTGTAAGAATTTTTTGGTGGAGGTAGACATAATAATGATTTACTGATACAACTTTTACTAATTAACACATAGCTGAGAAGACAAAAGATGGATTAATATCTTTCTCAAGGGTAAGTGAATATAATGAACACAACGGGAATTGGAACTCGGTTCTCCGTTTAACAATTAAGAGTAGTCATCTATTAAAAATTCGAACATCCAAGCTTACTGATAATTGGAAGAGTTGATTCAACGAGGTGCTGAACAGGTTCGATGTTGCTTAACTTCGGTGATCTTATGGTAACTTGTGTTTCCAAGCCATCTGGCTCGAAGTCGTACATTATACATTAAATTTCTCGTTATTTGACGTGGATACAATTTCAAAATGTTTCATTCAGAATAGACAATCTTCTAGCTGAACACTTAAAAGATATTCCATTATTAAAATATTTAAACATTTTAACGCGCAGCTGACATGTACGAGATTTCACTGTGTCGTACGGAGTATGACGATAAACTGCTGAACGCTGGAAGTTTTTAGGAGCGTGGAACCTTCACTTAGTTACTGTTGTTCCCAGGTTCACCCTGACCGGCGTTGGTAGCACATGTTAGTGCCCCAGCTATGGGTAAATAGCTAACTTTAAATGGTGTCAAAACAGAGTGAATATATAAAATTACATTTTTATAGTGAAAATACCAGCAATGCATTTTTATATTAAAACATATATGAAATACATTCTTGAAAAAATTACCAGTATATAAGATTACTAACACTGACAAGAAAATTAATTTTCGGCATTAAATGACCCATAAGGATTTGATATGCCGCTAACAAAAATAAACTGTCTGTATGCAACAAGCAAATATATTTAATGCTCCTATAGACTTTGCAATTCGTACTCGAGGAAATAGCGATTATGTTATTTTTTTAAAATTTATAATCATCCATTGGGTTAAATTCTGAATTATGCTATAGACAACACACTGTGAAAAGAAATATGAAATTAATTCTAGATTCCGTTTCTCACCATTCAATCTTAGTTCTACCTTTAGCAATTTACTCGTCATTACATTAAGCACTTTCGAATATTTTCGTTTGAGTGAAACTATTTACAATGTGTTGGGCGAGGAATAAACATTTTAGAAGTATTCACCAATTAATATTCCCAATTAAATATGTCACAAAAGTGTATATTTGATGTTGCACAAAAGAAATAAATCGTCTGTGAGGAAGTGGCAAGAAGAATACAATATTTTGCCACCTTATTAGCAGTTTCCACATGATATTAGATTGTGCGATTTTGTGAATAATAAAAGAAAAAATAAACCAAGCATTTAATCAATTAAAACGTCATTAAGTGCCTATAAATGAAAGTTATAAACGTCTTTCTTTCTTTTCGAGAACATTTAAGAAGAGAATTTTTCCTTACCTTGAACACCGAATCAGTTGTGAAAAGGAAAAAATAAAAGCAGAATGAAATAACTATCCGCTTCTATGAAGAAAAAATAAACTGGTATCGGAAGTGAATACGATTCAAGGAAGATGGATAGAAAAATAACACTTGTACTTAGAATCATAAAGTTGGCATTTCTGGAGCACATATTGAGAAATTGAGGTTTTAGAGCATTTAAGATGGAAAGAACATATTGAAATAAAGAGAGTCAGATGAAATCAGCGAGGAACTTATCTAACGTGATTGAGTAAATGAATGAAAAAATAATGATTGGGAAAGAGAGTAACGGGAAACACATTGCTTGAAGCTGTCGAGGAAAGAGAGATGTTGAGGGAATGTTTCATCATGTGCTTTAGAATCATGCTACAAAGAAGTAGTATTAGAAGAAGAAAATAAGACGTAGAAGGAGAAGATGAAAAAATAAGACGTAGAAGAAGCATAAAACGGGGAACGAGAAGAAAAACGTATAAAAAAAAGAAGAAGTAGAGGAAGAAGAAGAAAGAAAGAAAGAAAGAAAGAAAGAAAGAAAACGGGGGACGAGAAGAAAAACGTATAAGAAGAAGAAGAAGAAGAAGAAGAAGAAGAAGAAGAAGAAAGACGAAGAAGAAGAAGAAAGACGAAATAAGACGTAGAAGGAGAAGATGAAAAAATAAGAGGTAGAAGAAGCATAAAACGGGGAACGAGAAGAAAAACGTATAAAAAGAAGAAGAAGAGGAAGAAGAAGAAGAAAGAAAGAAAGAAAGAAAGAAAGAAAGAAAGAAAGAAAGAAAGAAAGACAACGGGGGACGAGAAGAAAAACGTATAAGAAGAAGAAGAAAAAGAAGAAAGACGAAGAAGAAGAAGAAAATAAAGAAGAAGAAGAAGAAGAAGAAGAAGAAGAAGAAGAACTAAAGAAAGAAAGAAAGAAAGAAATAAAGAAAGAAAGGCAACGGGGGACGAGAAGAAAAAAGTATAAGAAGAAGAAGAAAGACGAAGAAGAAGAAGAAGAAAGACGAAGAAGAAGTAGGAGAAGAAGAAGAAGAAGACAAAATAATACGTAGAAGATAAATAAGACAAAGAATAGGAAGAAGTAGACTAAGAAAAATAAGTAGAAGAAGAAGAAAACAAAAAAATAAGACGTCGAAGAGGAGAGAAAGAAGGTGACATAGAAAAAGAAGAAACATAATACATAAAAGAGGAAAATACGACTTAAAAGATACCTAAGACGTAGAAGAAAAAGGAAAAAAGATATAGAAGAAGAGGAATAAGTATGAGAAGAAGTAGAAGAAGAAGAAGAAGAAGAATAAGAAGAAGAAGAAGAAGAAGAAGAAGAAGAAAATAAGTCATAGAAGAAGCAGAAGAAATATTTGAACATTAAGAATTTTAATTATTTGTTATTAAACTCCTATACTATATATATTAATTAGAATTATAAAGATTTTGCATTTTCTCGTTTTCCTGCATATTAGTGATAAGTCGATATTTAACGTTTATTGCTTCCTGCAACTGAAGGTAAATTAAATAGTCTGCAAGGAAAATAATGTTTTAAAATCATCTATTTCATCATCAGTAGTTATTAAGACTTAATCATGGTTTTATTAAATTGTCAGTTAAGAAACATAAAGAATGAGCAGGCACAATATTTGAACTCTCCTTCGGGGCTCACTTAATCCATAACAGTTTTCAAAATAGGATTCAATTTAAATTATCGACAAATAATTGACGCAAAATATAGAATAATTTGCCTAAGTTTTCCGGGATTTAATGTTAAATGGCATTATAATAGTGTAAATGTTTACGTCTCTAGAATTTGATTTATTTCTTATACAATATCAATGCAATAGTAAAAGTACAGAGGAATGTCACAAAATCCTCCGCCTAATTATATATAGGTAATTTAATTTACGCCAAAATACCTTTCAAATTTCGTTTTTAAATTCAGTGTTGAATATTAATTACTGACATCAAACATTCTCTTGTGAAAACTTCCAAATAACTCATAAATTTCTGTCTGGCTACGGAGTTATTGATCTCCTTCACACTAAAATTAATGTATTTTATTCTATTTTGAAATATTTCTTTTGAAGTTCTCTTTCATATATTTGAGAAAATATTCACAGCACATAAAGATTTCATAAACAAAATTTTGAAAATAATTATTTCTTTTTTCTCCATTATAGTCGACATTTTTTTCTCAATATTTGCATCTTTAATTCACATTTTAAAATATTTATATGTAAGACGGCGATAAAACACTGAATTTGAAGTAAGAATTCAGTCTGTCACAGAGGGGTAAGCATTTTTATTTTACAAGCGTTATACATAGGCTTGATTTTAACCATGAACATTTGGTTAAAGAGGTGATATTATTGACACGTGAAGCGACATCAATATGCGGCACCGTTTTGAAATCTTGGACACCCATACCAAGCTTGGTCATATAGCGGATAGGGGGGTTATGGGTTGTTAAATTGGGGACACGTGTGTTTATTCCTGCTAGAATATTAGAAAGTCCACTACAAGAACCTGACTCAGAGATTGAATCGACCATAAAGAAGTGTAAAGAAAAGCAACAACACCGATATATATATATATATATATATATATATATATATATATATATATATATATATATATATATATATATATATATATATATGTGCGTGTGTGTGAAAATATATAGAAAATAGGAAAGAACTCGTTAGGTAAATAATCCAAAGGTCTTTAGTATTTTGTTATTATTTTAAAAACAGTGCTCGATACAAAAAGTAGATCCTATATATATATATATATATATATATATATATATATATATATATATATATATATATATATATATATACACACACACACACACACACATATATATATATATTAACAAATATATGTATTAAACAACATAATTTTACAATGGACATAGACATTAACATTTGTGTTTGTGTGTGAACGTAAAGACTTTGCATTTCGGTGAATGTTCGTACGTACCTGTATGTGTGTATAATGTTCATGGCGTCTCCCAGAAATGGGAAAACGCGATCTTCCGCGAGAGCTTACATTGTAGATGTGTTCGCTGAAAATGAAGAAATGAAAAAGAGGACGAGGCAAGAAATCGCCCAGTATTTATAGTGTAGAGAGAGCGACCCCTAGTAAACAATTTGGACAATTAAGAAGGAGTTAACTCCGACAGTCTCAATTGGGTAGACAATGTTGTTCGGTAAAACTGAGATGCACGTGATAGCACCAATGTCCATGTCATTTTGTGCATATTGATCTTTTAAAAGTACTTATGTGAGCTCTACAAGAAAATCGGCATATTTGGGGTATAATCCACATGTTACCTCCGTGTGTGTTGGAGAAGCACAGATACTCTGGATTCGTTGCCTAGGAGCAGTAATTATCTAGTGACCTTAGCAGACGGGCTTGCTGAGAAATGTGTCACCTGTTATTATATGGTAACATAGAATAGATTCGCCCCAGCTGGAAAGCAAATCTCCTCATAGAAATTCTGTAAACAGCTGTGGTAGCCTTTGGGAATCTAATTAAACTAGATGTAGCTACAGTGTATTCTACTCAAGAACTCTCACAACAAAAAGAAGCAATGGACAAAAGATAATGAAGAATGCAGTCACAAAAAATGACTTTCATTTTGGAAGGGAATTGCTGTACCTCATTAAAATCATCTACCATTACCAATTTATATTATGGGAATTTTCTGACCTGCAACAATTCATGCCTCGTTAAATATATGAGACAATCAACTTTAATAGAATATTGAATAAAAATCATTATCATAACACAGGTATTTTAAACACATAAGAGGACAAAATTAAAAAAAATGTGTGTACAAATATAAATAGTAAAAACTGACAAATATTCACTATAGATTTATATATATTTATTACATTCTATTTTAACATTTTATTCAAAATATCAAACACTTTATTCCAAAAGACTGCTTTGATGTTAGGATAACTCTTTCCGTTTTGCTAAAATTTATTTTATGCTAAAGAAGGACTCAAAATTCATAAAAAATGTTGGATTCCGATTAAAGCACATTTACAAATGCAACATGTGAAAAGCATTCCATAAGGAAATATTGGGGAACTCAGCGACCAAAGAATTATCTTAGAAAAAAAAAGGATCTTGGTTTAAACAATTCAAGGAAAAAAATCCCTTAACTTCTTTCAAATGATATTTTATTGCCAAGGTTTTTGAATTATCTACAATAGGTTTTTGGAATCTCCAAATACAAGTATTCCCTCTGGTAAATGTTTTCCACTTCAGGTATTTGCGAAATGAGCCCATCAAAGAGAGCATTCCTTATCTTCACGCATGACTCCATAAATATTCACATTTATTAAAATGAATTCTTACAAATCGTTTGCATGAATTTAAAGGTGAAGTGAACACACGTCAGAAATATTGTTGGTGATAAAATATCCAGCAAATCCCTTCAGGAGGAAAAAGATTCCATAGTCCTACAAGAAGAGCGATACATCATTTTAAATATGAATACTTGCATTAAAAATACTTTTAAAAAGTCTATATTTTCGAAATATTTCGTAAACTAATTCATGGATTCTATAAATATCTGTACTGTTAATGTACAGAATATTTAACATATTATACTTATGCATATAATATATACATATTGGCAGCAATATTGTGGTAATTATATCGACGATAATACGCCAGGAATCAGCAGTAATTTTATGAACGGTTAATACGATTAAACAAATTGAATGATTACTTTTGAGAGAAAAGAAACACGAGAAACGATAAATAAACTAAAAGAAGTATTTACTTCTGCTGATTAATCTTTCTCGGATAGCTGAGTTCGAAATCTAGTCTAGTTCATTACATTCACTTACGCGCAAATACTCTTCGGAAAGATATGTAGCCATCTATTCTCCCCCAGTTGTGGATTGAATATCAGAACAGAAAGGTTTCTATCGCCTTTGCTGGCAACCAGTATAGCTTAGAATGAAATGCCAAACTCCTGCGGGAAAATCATCTGCCTCATCAGTCATCAATCGAGTGAGACATGATCCCTCCGACTTGTATCACGTATGGCTGATTAATCTTTGGTGAAAAGATGCCCATGTATCTTCCCAAGAAACTGTGTTGAAGTAGAACACCTTTTCAATAGTCATTAGAACGGGAATGCGTTTTTACTAGTCATTGGACGGAGAATGCATTTAGTTTTTATAAATCTACTTTCTTCTGTGTTATATAAGTGTTGAGAGACCGTAACATACCTACAACATGGATACTTCCAGGACTATATAAAGTATGCGATATAACACTCTAGGAGAAGAGGGGGAGAATAGAGAGATAATATTCTAATACCGCAGTATCAGCCGCGTACGACTACCAATATTGGACACTAGCACATAGTAAGCTCCGCTTACACTTACACTATCTTTGTAACCATTTTGTTTAATATATCTTTCTTACCTCTAATCCGTGTTCCGTGTTTTCCTTCCGTGGTCCCAAATTTGGGCCCACATCAATAAGGTACATCTTTAATTAACAGAAATAATATATTTGAGCCACATAATTAGAAAATATAGCTTACAGGAATGTAACACCCTCCAGGACATAGACAAGGCAAAGGTTACATGGGGAAGCAAAGAGTAAGCTGACTAACAAGCTTGTGATCAATGATGTTGAAACAGTGAGTGTCAAGATAGGAAATATGTAAAAATTCCTGAAAGCTACAAAGAAGAGAATGTTGTGGATAACCGTGATCCGTAGGGACACGGCACATAAGATATATAAATGAAAAACCACTTAATAGAGATTCTTGGCAAGAGAGAAAATGTCCTGTTTTCGGTTTCTAATTCTAGACATTATTATATCCGTAATATAGCAACATCATAATATACGAGAGGAACAGGATAGGTGAAATAAAAGAATGAAAAACATGCATTATTTCCAAAGAGATTTTTTCTACCGATGGATACTTATAACTTATTTTTTCCACACAGTGACTGAAGATTACAACAAGCGGCAACGAAAACCATGAGGGTATTACTCATATTTTCTGAACGAAAAAACGTACAGGTCGTTAGTGGCTCCTTATCTACCTGATGATACCATGTATTTTCCTCTACGCTCTACCGATGTTGACATGTGACGTCAGACTTCTTCGCGGTCTACATAGCAACTGGCGTGTTCAAAGATATCTTGCTTCTCTGCGTGCCAAATAGTAAATCCTATTGATATTTTAAGATATCTAACAAAATTTTGATACTGCTATATTCCTTTTTGACTTTCACCGAGGAAGCCAGAGACAGAAATAGATACATGTTCTCTTTATGAAGCAGAGCGGTCGATGAAGAGACATCACTTGCTGGAGTTACAGTCGCTTCATATTACCAAGAACACACCAGTGACATTGTAGCAGAAGCAAAGTCCAGCTTGACGGGTGGAAAATCTTTTTTGTATGGGTTTTATTTATGACTGTAATCTGGATCAATGAGTTTATCCTAATTTAAATGGTTGTTCTATTCTGAAGACACCTGTTCTCTCTTTGGAGTAGTGGCTACGGTGATCTCAAGGCAATGGGACACTGAGGAGATGTCTGTTATATATATATATATATATATATATATATATATATATATATATATATATATATATATATATATATATAATAAAATGTATTTCACCCAGTGTTATAGAAAATTCTAAAAAAAAAACTACTTTTTTTATTTTTTTTGAAAATTCTAAAATCGTGCACTGAATATGCAAAATTCTGAAAATGGATCCCAATTAATTTAGCAAATACAACGAAAATACGGTCTTTTGTATACTGAACCTCCTTAATATTCCGTATTTTGTATGGATCTTTCAAGGGATCTAATATAGAATATATCCACGTACTATGGATATTAATTCACGATTGTTAAAACATATTCAATACATATATTTCAATAACTAGAGTTAAAAAAAAAAAAAAAACTATAACTAAAAAAAAATATTTAAATTAAAAAAAAAAAAACTTTAAAAAAATTACTTTTAAAAATCGACTATCCAAATCAACAAAACTTTCCATCCGGAAAACATCCGGGATTCTTTTACAGAGTTCGCAGATCAAAACAGGTGCCCGGAGTTTGTCTCGATCCCCGACAGATATGCTGAAATATGCCTTGTAGACCTCATGCATTTTAAGTAGATGTTGCAACAGAGTGCTTTTACGTTTTTTTCTTGATAAATTCACTACAGACATAGCAAAATGTGTCTGTCAGATGCTTACAAAGTCTTGATGCCATCACCGACGAATGCATCTATCGATAATGAGTTGTCTGCACTTCGACAGCTAGAAGTAAACTGAATTCTTGAGCTTACGTTCCCAGTATTTATACTGCCATCTATGTTGCCAGAACATTCTAGAATTTCTTGAAGTTCTCAAAAATTTTATGAACTTTACGGAATTTCTAGAGAAATCTCCTTCAGCAATTCAGTGCTGAATCTGTCTAGAATGTAATGCAAAATAGTTTAGCTTACGAACATCGATGTTTAACGCAAAAAAGCAAAGGTTGACGGAAATAATATCCATTTTTTGTCTGCTTAACAGATGAAATAAGGAAATAAAACTCAGTAACTAAAGACAAAAATATCCAAATGATGTTACAGTGATATAATCCACAGCTATATAAAGCATGCAAAAAGTAATAAATATTTATATTATATTATCTATTATTATTAAAAAAAAAAATAACCATTTATCACTCAATAAATCATGCGACTAAAAGAATTTCAGCATAATGTGCAGAGCGCATTCAGAATTCTCCAGACCATTTATATTAAGTCGAATGAGCCTTCCCTCTGTAAACAGAATGAAAGCCTGCTGGGGTTCATGATATTCTGCTAGTATTTACTCTATATCTTTATTCGTTGAGTAAATGTTATTTTTCATCCGTGGATTCTGAAAGCGAGCAGCAGTAACATGTGACTTTTTATTTAATGTTTAACTTTTCCATCTAAATCTGTACAGGCAGTAATTGCCTATTTCTCTGATGCTTTCACTTTCACCATTTTATTATACAGTTTCTCTATATTTTCTATATCTTTGCTTTATATTTAAAATATCCGTTTTGAAGGACCTAATCTAATATACTACATGATAACAGATTATTGAAGGAATAGAAATAAGTTTTACGGAAGCAAATATAAGAATTACATCTAACTATATTTAGTCATAATCGTCTAAAATAAACGGCAAATTCTGCCTGCCCGTCCGTATTTTGGAAACCCCTTTAATTCGTGTCACAATAGTTCTAAATTGACATATTATACCTTCTTGAAATCAGGATGTTCCAGGATTAAAAATATGCTCTTCATCTGGTGCATGTATATGCAGCATAGGGATTTGAATTCTCATGAGGTAGAAGCAGTTGAATATTCGAGCTTTTAACTAACTGAAATAAATTAGTGCTTTTAAAAGTTTTAAATACATATTGAGTTTAAAGTAACAGAAAACTTTGTAAATTTAAAAGTTTTTGATTAAAATTCAGTTTAAAATATCTCCAACATTGATGAAAACTATTTAATTTATTCAAAATGACAAGAAATCAGAGCTAAAGTGACAGGTTTGGAAATTCCACAAAGGTTGTTAATTTTAAGAATTCAATTCGGCCTAAATTAGACTTTTGGCCCAAATAGGAATTTTGGCCCAAATCATAATTCCGTCCCAAATCGGTCTTTTGGCCGAAATTTGACTTATAGCCGGAATCAGATTAAAAGTGAATTGAGTAATTCAAAGTTATCGCTGCAGAATAAGCATTGCTATTTTCTAGCTGAATTAGAGGTTCCATTTGTTTTAGCTAATCTAAGGAGCTATGCTGAATTTTAAGTCAGCACGAATCTTAAGCGAGCAGGACCTAGCGTAAAAGAGAGCAGCGAAACTGGCTTTTAAGCTGTATTAATAGAAGAAAGTAAACTAAATATTCGAAATAAATCTTATTTATTACACCCAAAAGTTTGTTGTGAAAATATTGCACATGCTTCTATTTGTCAGGAGAAAGAAAATGTTAATAATTTTATAATACTTGAAATTTTTTAAGAATGAAACAATAATGTTGTTTTCGACATGTCGTCACTATACAGTCGATCAGTTCGAAACGCGGTGCTATTTACATGAAGACTCGAACAGTTAGAGAGCGGATTTTGGTTAACAAGAACATGGAATAAACTGTAACAATTAGAGTATGTTTAGTCACATCAAGAATGGCAACATATTTTTTTTTTAAATCAGAGATAATTTAGAGCTTCTCCATTCTCAATGACGAGATGTCAAATTCATATGAAGAGAAAGTCAATCTAAATCGAAGTGATCAATGACCTAACTGCCAAATCGTGAGAGGACAGATTGAATTAAAATTCAATTGTTTATTTGAACAGATGAGATGAGGGGGATTATGATATCGCGTGTGAGAGCTGAACAGAAAATATCACGAAACACTGAAAACCTAATGATCACTGCTAGAAAAAGAAAAGGAGAAAAAAAGAAATAGCAAGAGAAAGAAAGAAAGAAAGAAAAGAGCCGAAAGAAAGAAATGACGAAAGAAAGAAAGAAAGAAAGAAAGAAAGAACATAACAGAAATATATGAAAGAATATGAAGTTGATAAAGAAAGAAAGAAAGAAAGACAAGTAATGATAAATACAATATAATGAAGAGAACAATTTTGAAAAGAGAGGAAAGAAAGAAAAAGAAAAGCATAAAGAAAGTGAGCAAAACAAAATGACAGAAAGAAGGATAGATTGGGATTAGAAAGAAAGAAATAAAGAAAGAAAGAAATAAAGAAAGAAAAAAGAAAAGAAAGAAAAATAAAAATAAAAGAAATAAAGAAAGAAAGAAATAAAGAAAGAAAGAAAGAAATAAAGAAAGAAATAAAGAAATAAAGAAAGAAAGAAATAAAGAAAGAAATAAAGAAAGAAATAAAGAAATAAAGATAGAAAGAAATAAAGAAATAAAGAAATAAAAAAATAAAGATAGAAAGATATAAAGATATATAGATAGATAGATAGATAGATAGATAGATAGAAAATAAACTGTGAAAAATAATAAACTGAAATATGATTGAAAGAATCAGAAAAATGTAAACAGAAATGGTAAAGCAAAAAGAAGAAAGAAGAAATAAATAAACAAAGAACTGAAACGATTAACATGTATGAAAAAGAAAGGAAGAAAGAATATAAAGTTATAGATAACCAAAGAAGAGTAGAATAAAGCAAAAAAGAGAGAATGAATGAAACAAACAACAAAAGAAGAAAGAACTCAAATGGGCATAAAAACATGAAAACTAAAGAAAAAAGGATATAAAAAGAAAAGAACATCTAAAGATTAAAAATTAATTTTGAAAGAACTTTTTAAAAGTAAAAACTTAAAAAGACAGAATTAGATATTTTGAAAGGAATGAAGGAAGGTAAAAAAAAAAAAAAAGAGACAAAGATTTGTGCAAATGGAAAGTAAGTATATAATATAGAGAAAAAGATAACAAGAATCAAATGAGAAATAAGTAAAAAAAGCTAAAGGAATAAATAAAATATGAAGTCAAAATAAAAAAAAGACTTAACTGAAAATATACCACAAAAATACACGATGAAAACGCTAAAAAAGTAATTAAAATGAAGGCTTTTTTAAAAATCTTTTGGAAGCAGAATTTTTACTGATGGGCCAAATTTTACATGAGACTAAGAATTCTTTGAAATACGTTCAAATCAGTCTTCAGCAGGTGCCCTTTTAATAATTTACTTATCTATTTATTGTAAGGCACATTATCTGCGCAACTTAAATTAAGAGTCAAATTACTTTTTCACTTCAAAGGAATTTATTTCAGGTCAAAGGTCAAAGATATTAATCTAGTTGAATGAAGAATTAATATTTCAGTCTACAATGAATGCCCCACCCCTTCGTTGCTGAATTATAGGGTTATATAGGAAGAAAATGATTAAATACGAACACCGAGGTTCGATCGTGACACTCTGGACTTATATGTTTTCAGACAGATGTATAAATACTGATGTCAGGCTACTAAATGCAGCGATTATTGAGGGATTATTGAGTGGAACTATCCAGTCGAGTTAGCATGAATTATTGAGAGTCGATGATTTGGGTTTTGATTTAGGATTTACCGGATGTTAAGCTGACACTGAAATGCTTATCTTCTACTTTGTTCTCGTTACATATTTATTTGTGGTTGTAATTAAATACTGTTTTATCTTAACATTGAAGTCTTGAGTTCTACTTAATTATTAGCGGCCATTCTACGTCACAAAATATAGTGAACACCAAATCAATATTGTATGCTTTTGAGATTCGGAAAAATCTGGTGGAAATATATCACTTGACAAATGAACATTTAAACGAATTATGATTAATATTTTCAATAAATGTTTTATACATATTTTAAAATGCGAACGAAACAATTACTTAATTGGTGAGAAATTCTCATGATTATAGGGGAATGCGCTGATGGTGTAATTGACATCGGCTCGAAATCGGAATGCTGAGCTCGAATAAATACATTTATTCGTAAATTCCATTCGGATTGGAATGAATTCTGCTCTTCCCACCAGCTACTGTTTAAATAAGAGGAATCCCGTCTAACACAATCTTAATTATTTTCACATAATTGGCAATGCAATATTCATTCATGAAAAAATATTCATGCAATCTAACAGAAATCCCACAAATCTTAATAAGCGGTAAAAAAAAAAGTTATCAATCTATATTAAAGAAAGACAATATATTCGGATGTTTTTCCCTCCTGAGACCATCCTTCAAATCTACAAATCAACCGTTCGTCCCTGCATTGAATACTTCTCTCATATGTGGTCTGGTGCTGTTCATCTCGAGGTCCTCGACAAATTACAAAGACGGATATGCAATGTGATATATTTTGATCTTGCATCTCGTCTACAGTCACTTTCTCACAAACCGGCTATGACTTCCCTTTGTCTTTTCTACACATACTTTCACGGTAACTGCTCCGACGAGCTACTTTCGCTGGTTCCCAAACTACATGCATTTAAGCGTGCTACAAGTTGGCATTTCGATTCCACACTGTCTCAGTCGAAATCTAGCCGTCTCTTCTACTCCAACAGCTTATTATCTCGCACTTCCCATCAGTGGAACGCCTTTCTGTTTACTTGCTTCTCTTAAACTTATAACATTCAAATATTCAAATGCAATGTCAATCGACATCTTCTGATTCTTTGATCTTGAACCCATCCTTCTATTTATCCATTCCTCAAACACCCGTCTTTACTCTTACTCTCACTCTCTGTAACCCCTTGCATGCTTGTGGTACTAACGCCTCGCTTGGGTGATATGCTTACAAAAAGATACACAATAATTGTTAATAAACTGTTTTTCATTATTAATATACTAAACTACCATGAATCATGGATGGAATTTTCTCCACCTGTTATCTCATATCCAAAGTGGTCACATCTACCATTAAGAAGTATTGATTATAAAATTTTCTAATTAAAATTTCCACTTCTCAAACATTTATAAACAATACAGGTAGCTATCGCTTCGTCTCCATTAAAGCCGTGGGCATTTTAATCCCAAATCCGTCCACGAATTTTATAGAAAGGCGCATTACCATATCCCATTTTATTTATATGTCATAGATCTCAGGTACATGTTTAAAAGAATCACGTATTTAATCTTCGTCTAATGAAAAAAAAAAAAACCTACGTACTTTTGTTCGGATTCAATATTATCAGCTTTATGAACTCTTATCCCTATAGAAAACGTAATTCGCTAAATGATCATGGACCTGAGATCGAAAGATTTTCCACCTGTCACATTATTTATAGATTTGTCTCTTCCATCATCACTGACTGTAGATATGCAGTAACGTTCTCAGTTTTCCAGATGCAAAGTCTTCAATTCTAAAGCTAGCGAAACACTTACAATCTATACTCTCAGATATGACACTAGATCTATAAATGGCAAATATCTTTCTTCTTTTTTTGCTAGAACACTTATAGTTAGATTCAAAAGCAGAATGTTAAAACTTCTAGGGCATATAATGAGAAAGAGACTTTGAGAATATTACACTCAGGGGACATATTCTAGTGACGTGGAACTAAGAATTAATAGCATCAAATGACAAAAATGGACATAATTTTCCTCCATTTTATTTTAAAATCAAATCTTATAAAATTATCAATCCTCACAGGAATCATATAAGCAGGCGTGTTTTTCAGAATATGTATATATGACGTAAGATTCAGTAGCGTCAGTAAGGAACTCACATGATCAATCGCCACATCCACACATCCAGAAAAAAAGACTAAATAATTTGTTCTAATTGAATATTATCAAGTTTTATAAAGTGTTTCCATTACTGGAAGCTTCAAAGAATAAAGTATCAATGCTGATATAGATAGTTTTTCTTCAGTATCTGTCTATATTTCTGAGATGAGGTATTATGCACATTATTTACATTATTCGGACTATTGTCCTCATCTTTGTCGCCCTATTTATTATAACGTTTCGGCCGTTGTACGCTCCGGCCTTCTTCAGGTGGCTGGAATGTCGAACTTAACCCTTTATTTCGCTCACTGGAGTAGGGTGTTCTAGTTCCAGGTGTCATGTATAATGGATGTCAATTATCAGTTATCTCCTGTTAATTTCCCTCTGAAAGTTCTCCACTGCCTTAACCGGGTATTGAACTCACACTTTTTGGGTCCTGTCAATACAAAGATGAGGACAATAGTCCTAATAATGAAAATAATGTAGTGTTTTTCTTCTTGTCTCATTATATCCTGTTCTCATATAGTCGAGCAGTAAAATTCCATGTTTATACTTTGCAATCATAGTGAATGTTGATATGATTTTACTATCTACGTAGGGCCTGTTGTTGGCAAATTCTTGGTTATTATAATAAAGGCTTCAAACATGTATTATTTTGAATTATAGTAATCATAGTGAATGTTTTCCTTTTGTCATCGATCACGATTACGAGTCCGGTACCCGCATGTACTGCAACTATAGAAGCAATGTTGTGTCTAGGGCAAGGAATCCAACACTCTCGAGGATGCTTTGAATTCAGGATATTCCTTATATACTGGTTTCCAACCAGACTCTTCTATTATTTAACCATAGCTCATGGGAGAATAGATGGATTGATATATTCACCAAGTCTATTTGCTCATAAGTGAATTTAATTCAATCGCCTGGAATTCGAACGCACCTCCGCGATTTTCCATAGCGAGCTGCTGTCTCTTACACCACCGCGCACCCTTTACAAGTTAATTTAATTGGGCAAAGTCGGAAAGATATGAAAGCAACACAACATATAGTGATGACATAATAAATATTATTTGAATTTGGGAATTTGGTAATAAAATGGTGGAATCTTTCATCAGAATATGAATTAAAACTTTAAATCTATATCTATTATTCTCAAAATGTGTGTGTCTGTATGTGTATGTGATTGGATGTTGTTTATGCATTTCCGCAGTTTTCATCCGATTTCGATGAGTTTTTTTTTTTAGATAATTCTTCAGTGCCAGTTTTCAGTCCGTATTGTTGGCGACAATGGCTCTCCACTACTTCCTGTCCATTATTATCTC